AGTTTTTTCCCCCCCCCCCCCCCCCTTATGTTTGTCGGTGCCAAGTTTACTTGCCTCGTTTGTTTGAGAAGAAACGGAAGGAATGACACATGCTCATATATGGATGCTACACAACATCGATTATTTGAACGTCGATTATCTGACATTCCCCGACAGTTGCGCAGACGTATAAATAGAGATTTATATTAAAAGATTTGTAATATTTTTCTCTTTAAAGTGCGAATAAAAGATATTATATGGAAAAAAGCTATATCTCTTTAAAATGTCTTTAGCAATATTATTTATAATGACGTGCTTTCGCTCAAGCTATGCCGCGGTACCTTTGCCGACTATTGTTCACCATACGGAAAAACATGGTACCTACACATGAGATGCTCGAGTGTTAAAGAGCCGGACGAGAAAAGGGAGCAAAAGTTTAATTGCTCGATTATCATGACAATTTGGACTCATTCCGCGGTCTTGGCGTGGTATGTTCTCCGAACAGCTCCCGTACGCGCTCGGTGCATAATGTAACGTAGGTACGTGTCCAATGCGGGAAGGCGCATTTAGAGTCGCATTACATAGACAGTGGTCGGCGACGGAGTGACGCGGCGTAATTGCCACGGCAATTACTGCCGACACATTTCACACGCGCGATGTAATAGCGACGCGCCATTTCGTTACGCGATTCAAATTTTTGCTGTTGGTCGACACACTTCAACGGCGAACGAATGAAAACAACGACTGTGCGTAAAGAAAAATAATCGTCAAATATGTTAGGTGTGTTATACTGATGCGTATTATCATCTCGGTGCATTTTATCTTTCTCCGATATTTTCGCGTTGGATAGTCCGGAAATTAATTTGAATAACATATTATGTAAACACCGATATATAATCTTGTTCTTTAAATTTAATATAAAATCATGTTGATGAAACTCTCCTTTACAATCTGTAGAATAAAATCACAATTGAACGATTATTGCATTATCATATCACGAATAATCCATAGGGCAACATTGAATACGAACCGAAACGCAACGGTGTACGCTGAGCGTTCGGGGATCCGGAAAT